GTGATTATGTTGGGCCAGCCAGGCCCCCCTTTTCCCATGATACTGAGGCCACCTCCTCTGATTTTCCCTAGGCCCAGCTGGTCAAGGACCGGCACTCAGCCCTGCGGCTGGAGAGCCTGTACTCAGACGAGGAAGACGAGTCTGCAGCTGGGGCTGACAAGATCCAGATGACATGGACTCGGGACAAGTACATGACAGCTGAGTCCTGGGACCCCAGCCACACCCCTGACAATTTCCGGGAGCTGGTGCATATTAAACCGTGAGTGCAGTAAGAATGGACCCAACCACAGTGGCGTCTGGGGGTGGGAGGTGGGATGAGATGGGAGAGGTGGGATTGGGTGGGCCAGGGGTGGGGTCTACGATCAGCTGCATTACTTGCAGGGACCAGTCTAATGTGCGGCGCATGCACACTGCTGTGAAGCTCAATGAAGTCATTGTCACTCGCTCCCATGATGCCCGCCTGGTGCTACTGAACATGCCTGGCCCACCCAAGAACAGCGAAGGTGATGAAAATTGTATCCTTTTGTAGAGAGGCAGGCAGTGGGGAGGTGGACACACAGGAGGTCAGGCCAGGAGCTCTTCTCCCTAGATGCCCCCGGGGGGGTGCTAGCTTACCCCAGCTCTGATTAATAGGCCAGACTTCCCTGGGTGCCCCTGGTCCCGGTGCTGCCTCTTTGACTTGATGCTCTGCAGACATGGAGTTCCTGGAGGTGCTGACTGAGGGCCTCGAGCGTGTGCTGTTGGTGCGTGGCGGTGGCCGCGAAGTGATCACCATCTACTCCTGAGCCTCATATACACTTGTGGCTTAGAGTGGAGGTGTCCAGGGTAGCAGCCCCCTCCCGGCACCCAGCCACCAGCCCTGCTTTGCTTGGCCCCACCCTGGACCCAGCTTTGCTAGGTCTCCTTGGAGACCAGGCCTGGGCCTGGCAATGGAGAAGGATCCAAGGTTCTGTGGGACCCTGAGAGGTTTGGGGACTTTCCCATCCAGCACCCCAGGAGAAGACTGGTGGGAGCTGATGAGGAATTTGAAGGCAGCCTGCCCAGGCACGCTATTTATTGCATATTTATTGTTTGGATGTCACCATCAGAGAGGAGGGGAAGGGGGATGAGGGAGGGGGGTCTGACCCAGCCCACCTGCAGGATGACCTGGCTCAGGCTACAGTGTGCAGGGACCCCCACCGAGCGAAGCCGAATGGAACTGGCCAGCTGAGGCCTGACTTTTTCAATAAAACATTGTGTACTTCTGGGCCTCCTGCTGCCCCGGCTCTGTTTCCCCTGGCACCAAGGGAGGAAGGCGGAACTGAAACCAGGCCCAGAGCTGGCTCTCTGAGGCTATGCCCCTTTCCGGCAATCTCTGGCCACCCCCATTGGCTGGGCTGTCCCTCCCACTGGCCTTAGGGCCCCTCCCACCCCCACTCCAGATAAGGCCAGCCCAGGACTGCTTCACTGGGCAGTAGGCACTAGGGCTGGAATGGGGCCGTCAGGCTCCCCATGGCAGTGGGGGCTGCTGCTGCTGGGGCTGCTGCTCCCCCCTGCCACCCCCTTCTGGCTTTTCAATGTGCTCTTCCCCCCGCACACCACGCCCAAGGCTGAGCTCAGTAACCACACACGGCCCGTCATCCTCGGTAAGCCCCCGCAGGCCCCTGATGCACCAGGCCAGACCTCAGAGAGCCTGGGCCCCAGCTCCTGGTAGCAGACCCTGCCAAGGTCCTTCTGCCCCTGCGTTAGCCCTGATAGCTGCCTCAGTGTTTGAGGGTCCAAAGGCTTGTCCTGCAGAGAAATCAACCCCTTCCCTAACCACTTGTTCCTGTCTCTGAGCTGATTACCCTAGGGGGGTGGAGTTGGGGGCAGGTGTGCCTGAGGGCTTAGCCAGGGCATTACAAACTGGTCAGCTGTGGCCACTCAGCCCCTACCCCAGCAAGGACAAGATGCCCAACCCCTGGAAAACAGGTCTCCAGCTCCCATTCCCCCATACCTATTTGTTCTCACCTTGGACTTTGGCATTAATAGACAGCCAAGCTAGGTGTTTTGTTTATGGGGACAGGGGTCAGTGGCCTTGGCCCCTGCACCTTCCCTGCTTGAGGGGAACCAGGGCTGTGGGCTGCTGGGGGATTGGAATGGGGGCTGTTATCAGAAAGGATCACATCCTTAGTTCCTGGGGGTTGAGGGCATGGGAGATGAAGGGGCGGAGCTGGGAGGACAGGCAGAGGGATGGGGGAGGAATGCAAGGAATTCAGAATGAAGGCTAGTGCCCACAGTGCCTGGCTGCCTGGGGAATCAGCTGGAGGCCAAGCTGGATAAACCAGATGTGGTGAACTGGATGTGCTACCGCAAGACAGAGGACTTCTTCACCATCTGGCTGGATCTCAATATGTTCCTACCCCTTGGAGTGGACTGCTGGATCGATAACACCAGGTATGTGCCATCCCCTCTGCCCCAGCCCCCACAGTCTGCCCCTTGGCTACTGGCACGCTGAATGTCCCACTGCCCTCAGGGTTGTCTACAACCGCAGCTCTGGGCGTGTGTCCAATGCCCCTGGTGTACAGATCCGTGTCCCTGGCTTTGGGAAGACCTACTCTGTCGAGTACCTGGACAACAGCAAGCTGGCAGGTGTGTTTCCTGGTGAAAGGGCAGGGCCCCAGCTGTGGTCAGCCCACAGGAGCCATGACCAGAGCCTCCAATGCTGCTGCCTCCTTCACAGGTTACATGCACACACTGGTGCAGAATCTGGTCAACAACGGATATGTGCGGGATGAGACAGTGAGGGCTGCCCCCTATGACTGGCGGCTGGAGCCGAGTGAGTATGTCTGCAGGCTTTGAGTAGGGCAGATGGGCCCTGACCCCATCCACTGCCCTGACCCCATCCACCCTACTTCAGGCCAGCAGGAGGAATACTACCGGAAGCTGGCTGGGCTGGTGGAGGAGATGCACACTGCCTATGGAAAGCCTGTCTTCCTCATCGGTCACAGCCTGGGTTGCCTACACTTGCTCTATTTCTTGCTGCGCCAGCCCCAGGCCTGGAAGGACCGCTTCATTGATGGATTCATCTCTCTTGGGGCTCCCTGGGGGGGCTCCATTAAGCCCATGCTGGTCTTGGCCTCAGGTGAGAAGGCCCTGGACCACCTGTGTCAATGAGGGGGTTGAGGTGAGGGGGATAAAGCTGACCATTGGCCTACCCTCACTCCTGCTTCTGCTCACCATGTCAGGCTAAGTGTGTAATTTACCACCCCTAGGGCATGGTCCCTGTCACTGGCTCCCCACCGAGGGTGGTGAACCTGGCCTGGACTTTAGAATAGCTCCTGTCAGAAGTCTGTTTGGATGATTTGGTGCTTTGGTGACAAAAGGAGAGTAAGCAGAAAGGAAGTGAACCCCAGCAACCCGACTCACGGACTTAGGTCTGTTTCTTGTGGTTTCAGGTCCTGCCCACGCAGCTTTCAGCTGCCTTCTGCTTCCGGGAGCCCATTTTCCCAGGGATCTGCCTACTGAGGACAGATCTCCCAAAGCCAGGGCCAGACCCTAGAAGCCCTTCTGCCCTTCCCTGAGAAGGGGCATAGCTACCACCTGTTGTGCGCACATTGTATGCAGGGTATAGCCAAACTTGACCTGCCCCCTAGTAGCTCACAGTCTGCTGAGGGAAACCGTCATCAGACTATGTCAATAAGTGCCAAATACAGACACAGTCTAATATCATCCTTTCCAGAACGTAGCTCTGATCCCTGTGCAGCGGCCAATTAGCTGAGGGAGAACCACCAGCACCATCCTCCCACATTCACAGATATACACCCATCCTCAGGAGACTTCTCCCTGGCCTCCTTCTGATGGTCTACAGCTCTGCCCCACAGATGTGCCATCAGGGCTTCTCATTTAAAAAGCACACATTGAACACCTACTGATTGCCAGGCCTGCTCAGAGGCTCTGGCTTGGAGTCAAGGTTTGGATTGGGCAGGGACAAGGTTTAGCATCCAGCTGAGCTTGGGCTGGGGACAGTTGTGGGCCCGAGGTACCCAGACCTGGCTCCCTGACCCACCTTGCTTCGTGTTCACAGGTGACAACCAGGGCATCCCGATCATGTCCAGCATCAAGCTGAGAGAGGAACAGCGCATAACAACAACCTCCCCTTGGATGTTTCCCTCCAGAGGGGTATGGCCTGAGGACCATGTGTTCATTTCCACGCCCAGCTTCAACTACACAAGCCGAGACTTCCAGCGCTTCTTTGCAGACTTGCACTTTGAGGATGGCTGGTACATGTGGCTACAGTCACGTGACCTACTGGCAGGCCTCCCAGCACCTGGAGTGGAAGTATACTGTCTGTATGGTGTGGGCCTGCCCACACCCAACACCTACATCTTTGACCACGGCTTCCCCTACACAGACCCCGTGGGGGTACTCTATGAAGACGGTGATGACACTGTGGCCACACGCAGCACCGAGCTCTGTGCCCGCTGGCAGAGCCGCCAGCCACAGCCTGTGCACCTGCTGCCTCTGCCTGGGACACAGCACCTCAACATGGTTTTCAGCAACCAGACACTGGAGCACATCAATGCCATCCTACTGGGTGCCTACCGACGTCGTACTCCTGCACCCCCAGCTACCAGCCCAGGGCCCCGGACCCCTGAATAAAGACCCTCTTTTGCTCTCTAAGTTTTGACATGTGTGTTGTGGGTTGCAGAGGAGGCAGTGGCGTCCATGCACCAGGATTCACTGAGCAATAGTCACAGGCCTGGTGCTTTGTGGAGCCTAAGGGTATGATGGGCTTTGATGAAGCCTGAGATTGAACTGGGCACCAGGATAACAGCTTCCCACACTCCTGGTAGAGCTGTTTATGTAGCACATAGCCTGCCTTGTGCCTGCTTCTGCTCTGGGGGCTGGGGACTGGAGGTAGTTGCACACACAGCTGTGGGATGGAGGCATGTGGAGCCAAGGGTACGGGGCAGAGAAGATGTGAGTTGTCCCACCCACTCCCCAAAGGGCAGGTAGAGCCCACCTGTGGACGGGGACTTTTGAGTGCTAAGCCTGTGACAAGCACAAGAGTTTAGAATCAGAGAGAGACGGTCACTAGTCAGATCATTCTTGTAATGAAAGTTTAATTAATGGAGCTAAGTGGTCTGAGAGAAAAGTTTAGAGAGCACCAAGGGGCAGAATCTTGTTTGTGAGTCAGGGAAAGTTTCCCAGAGGAAGTGATGGCTATTCCGAGATCAGATGAGACGAGAAAAATACGTGGGCCACTGTAAAGACTTGGGTTTGAGCCTAAGAGCACTATGCAGTTGCTGAAGGGGTTAACCAGGGAAAGAATGTAACCAGATCTCCAATCTAGAAAGAGTCCCTTCACTGCAAGGTAAAGGATAGCCTGGGGGTGGTGGGTAGGGGCAGGAAGCTTGGGGAAGGCAGAGAGGACAGTGCAGTATCCAGGAGAGGATGCTAGCTGAGGCTAAAGCGGTAGGAGAAAAATGTGGATAAATTAAGGGTCATTTGGGACATGAAATAAGGCTTGTCCATGGGTAGAGCCCAGCATGCTTCCAGGCCACTAGATGAGCAGCCCCACAGCACCTGTCTCGTTAGAGGGAAGACACCATCTGAGACATGGTAGCTGGAAGGCTCAGTCACCATGATGGAGGACTGAGCTTTGGTCTTTCAAGTTTCAGAGAGGCAAAGGCAACAAAACAGAGGAGCTGAGAGAAGGACCAAAGGCAGCCATGCCTGATGCTGTTGGGAGGCCAGTAACAGAAGCCTGGCCAACGTGACAGGCTTACAGCTGAGGGACTTGAGGTTAGAACTGGGGTCAGGATAGGCAAAGCTAAGGGGCACGGGCTGGAAGAGGCAAGAATTGCTGAACAATGGTCAGAGAGAGGGATTTGTCCCTCTGTTCAGACTGAGGACTAGGGAGCAGGATGGAGAGCCAAGCAAGGACACCTCCCCTTTGCCAAGCTGCCTAGGACCTGAAGTAAAGGAGAAGATGCGCAAATGTGACAGTCACGCTCTGAGGAAAGATGAAAGTGAAAGAAGGAAGCGTCAGCCGCGATGGGGGGAGGGGGGACGCTGACAGAGGACCTGGCTTTTGTCTTTCTCACTCTGAGCTGGTCCCACATTTACCCCCAACCCCTGGACCGGCCTGCCACACCTGAAGATGCTGAAGCCAGAGCTAGAGCCCAGAGGGGGCTTCTCTTTCGAGAACTGCCAGAGGTGAGTGGGAGTGAGCTGCCTATGCAGCTTCTGCTCCTGGAAGCCCCAGAGCCTTTATTTCTGGAGGGGGCGAAGGGACGGCATCGTGTGTTGGGCGACTTGTGTTCCCAGGCTCACCCTGAGAAGTGAGGGAGGCTGGGACGGAGTTGGAGCGTGTGATGAGGTCCCAGAAGAACCTCACCTGGGCCGTTCCACTCCGTTTCCAGAAACATATCCTTAGACCGCGTCCTCCCGGGGTTCCGGAGCCCTCAAGCACACAAGACTGGGACCACCATCGCGGGCCTTGTGTTCCGAGTGAGCAGGGAGTTGGGTCTGGGGTGTTTAGAGGGTCTGCTGGGAAAACCGACACTGAGCTAGAGGCCCCTCTTCCTCCCCAGGACGGAGTCATCCTGGGCGCGGATACGCGGGCCACTAACGATTCCGTAGTGATGGGCAAAAGCTGCGAGAAGATCCACTTCATCGCCCCCAAAATCTAGTGAGAAATCCCCAACCCATTTCGCCTACGCATCCCCAGACACAGCACGTCCATCCTAGTCCCGCCCACACCGACCCTCCCTTCGTTCTCAGCTGCTGTGGGGCTGGAGTAGCCGCAGACGCCGAGATGACCACGCGAATGGCGGCGTCCAACATGGAGCTACACGCCCTGTCCACGGGCCGAGAGCCTCGCGTGGCCACGGTCACGCGCGTTCTGCGCCAAACGCTCTTCCGGTGCTGGGCGAGGCTACAGTCACCCTGGGGAAGGGCTGTTGCAGGGAGGGGGGCGCTGAGAGGAGGTGGGACAGGATGAAGGGCGGGACCACGAGAGCCCCGGAGACCGGAAAAGGCCGGCCTAAGAGGAGCTGGGCAACAGGAAGGAGCAATGTTAGTCAAGAGGCAACAAACAACAGGAAATGGGGGGAGGGGTCCGGGGCGGTGTCACGGAGGGGCGGAACTTGTATGCTAGCGGCTGACCACGCCCATTCTGCAAAAAAGGTACCAGGGCCACGTGGGGGCGTCGCTGATAGTGGGCGGAGTAGACGTGACCGGACAGCAACTCTACAGCGTGCATCCCCACGGCTCCTATAGCCGGCTGCCCTTCACAGCCCTGGGTAAACAGTTCCTCCCCTTCCCCAGGAATCCCGCCACAACCCTGGCCTCACCTTCATCCCGCAATGGGATGGCCTTGACTTACCTCAGATGCCTCTCCTGACTGCAGGTTCGGGCCAGGACGCAGCCCTGGCGGTACTGGAGGATCGGTTCCAGCCCAACATGGGGGTGAGCAACACCTGTCCCACGCTACGTGTTCATTGATGGGAAGTGCACGCTGGAGCTGGGATAATACAGAGATATCCTGGCCTAGAGATCAGGAAAGGCTTCTTGGAGGAGGTGACGACTGAGTGGAGACTAAGGGGCCAGTGGAGTCAGAGTGAAGTGCTATTCCAGCAAGTCACCGTTAGTGCCAGAGTTTGTTCTGCTGGAGAAGCCAAAGCTCAGAGAGGACCATTTGAAGCTCAAGGAGGAGGGAACAGCAAATGGGGTCTGCAGTCTGGATTTTGGGGTGGGATGGAAGTGGGTGACATGTGTTGCTTCAGAGGTGCCTGAGGCCCAGAAGGGAAAATGCAGTGAACCAGTAGATTGGGGATCAAGACCACATTGGTTGAGTGACAGCACTGTAAGCAGAACCACAGGTGTAAGTGACTCAGAGGTTTATGAAGACAGGGGCAGTGGGAACACAGGGTCTCCTGAGAGAGGGAGGCAGAGGCCAGGGCAGGGGAGCTTGGGGTGGAGATGGGAGTAGGGAAAAAGGAGTTTGGGTATGAACAAATGGTAAATAGTCTGGGCTTCAAGATGAATAAAGCCTCTAGGGTGTAGCCTGAAGGTGATACCAAAAGGGTCCATCAGTCTTCACACACATGTATCACCACAGCTGGAGGCCGCGCAGGAGCTGCTAGTGGAAGCCATCACTGCAGGGATCCTAGGTGACCTGGGCTCTGGGGGCAGTGTGGATGCATGTGTGATAACGAGGACTGGCACCAAGCTTCTGCGAACATTGAGCTCACCCACAATGCCCATAGAAAGGTGGGAGCATAGGAGATGGGGGACACTGGGGAGGGGGGGGTAGCAGGGGAGATAGGAGGTGTAAGAAACAGATGGGCCACATGATGGGTCCAAGTTGAGAGGCCATCCCTTCCTTCTCCCAGGCCCAGGCAATACCGCTTTGCCCCTGGGACCACAGCTGTCCTGACCCAGACAGTGAAGCCACTGACCCTGGAGCTGCTGGAGGAAACCGTACAGGCCATGGAAGTGGAGTAAAGTAGGATGGTACTTAGAGCTTGGAACAAGGGGGAATAAACCTGGGAAATAAAAAAAACAAAAACCACCTAAACAGATGGCTGTGTTCTTCCTGGGTAGAGGGAGACAGGCAACCATGAGGACTCTGTGGCCAAGGTATACCTTTGGAAGCCACTCCCTGCCATGGCTCCAGGGCTTAGCCTACGAGGGACCTTCACCCATCACCTCAGGCATCTACTCCTCCAGGACCCCAGCCCTGGCAAGCATTGCAGCTCAAGGTGGAAAGCCCCCTCCTGACTCTCCAACTCAGAGGCCCCCCTACCACTCCCATGCCTTCTCTTGCCCTCTAGTCCACTGGGCACTGTTGTAAAACCCAGATGGACGCATGTGCTGCCCCTACCTAGTCTTTACCTGGCTCATCAGTGTCCCAGGACAAAGCGCACACCTCTCAGTCAAGGAGGCCTCCATGGACTCCACTGAGGGCTAAAGTGCTGACCAAGGAGCTGCTCCCTGACTCCAGGAGTACGTTCTCACAGAACACTCTTCAGCCCTGCAATACCTTTACCTGTGAAACCCTGCCCATGACCAAGCACACCTGAAGTGCTAAACCAAACAGGGCTTCTATTTGCACATGCTGAGTTGTGACCAGGGGAACTGACTTCCAAGTTTGCTGGGCTGACAGGGGTCAGGGCTCATGCAGAGGGAGACGACATGATACATTTATATAGCAAACCTTAGCTGAGTACCCACTGCGGGCCAGCCTAGGTGCTGTGTGCTGGCAGGAGCATCCTGCCCTCAGAATGGCTGATTCACTGGACCTTCAGAACTGTGAGTCTGCCCAACCTCTGGGGAGGGTCTACTCTGGGCTGGACATCCCTGGGACTCTGATTGTTTCTCCCCCCAGTATTTTATTATGATGGTTTTAAAAGATAGAAGTTGAAAAAATTGTACATCAAACACCTATATACCCACAATCAACTTTGCAATTAGTATTGTGTTATAATTGCTTGATCACATTTCTATCTCTCCATCCCTCTGTTCTACCGTTAACATCTTAATTTTTTTGACTGATGCTTTGAGTCAGTCAGAGCCCCCCCACCTCTAGGAGCCCAGCCAACTTACCCACTACAGCTTTGCACACAGGGTCGTCTTCTCGTCCTCATTGCAGGTTCAGCCTGGAGCTCTATGACAAATGGGCTGCAGACACCAAGAGCTTGCCCACAGAATTCCCAAGGCCTAGAAGCTGTCAGAGATGTGATGGCTGTCACCCGTGTACCTGCAACCTCCATCCAGGGTCAGCCAGTCACTAAGGACTCACACCTTACCCTCCTGTGTGCTAGGCCCCTCCCAGATGTCATTTCATCAACAAGAGTGTGGGCTTCAGAGCCAGACAGATGAAGGTTTGGATCCAAATGCACCATGTGCTTGTGGGAGAGTCTTCATCTCTCTGAGCAAACTTACTCCTGTTCTGAGTTGTGAGGGATCAGAGAGATGCTACCTGTTAGAACCTGTGACCTGCCAGAACCCCTGTGCTGGCCACATGGCTCTGGCCTTCCTCAGCAGACCTGGGACAGCCGACCTTCCCTCCATCTGTCAGGATCACCCCTGGGTGCAGAGCAGGCTTCTCTGAATCTGATGCCCCTGACAGCCCTGGGAAACTTCCCTGATCCCAGACACCAGGTGGTCACCATAAACCTAATTTAATCATAGGTCCTTGCTACCCCGTGCTCAACACTTGGGATGCGAGGTGGTTCAGGGAGCCAATCAGAGACCAGGCTTTGGAGGGTGGAGGTGAGAGCCTCACACCTGGGCTTTGATAAGTCCAGGCGTGAGTCCAGGACCTTGGCCTAGAGACCTTCCTCCCAACCAGAGCATGGGAGGGGGCTGAGCCCACACAGTTGGCTTGCATCAGGCCTGCGACTTTGGCCCAAGGACAAGGAGATCCATAAAACTAGGCCCAGTTCTCAACCTCACATCTGCCACAATGCTGCTGCTCAGCCTGACCCTTAGCCTGGGCCTCCTTGGCACCTCTTGGGGTGAGTGGGCCTGGACCAGCCCTGACTGACCAGCCCTCAAGCAACCAAGCCCCCAAAACCAGCCTAGGCTTCCTGGCCAGGGGCTCAGCTGGGCTGCCTGGAAGGGGACCAGGTGAACAGAATGGGTAAAGGAGAAAAGGATGTGCCAGGGCTGGAGGGGGGCAAAAGGTACACACAGGGGCTGGCCTCACAAATGGCACAGGAGATCAGGCCAGAGTTAGGAGCCAGGGAGGGTTTAAGAAGCTGAGAAGTAAAGGTTGGACATGTAGTTCAGGGAGAAACCTCTGGCTGTGGAGGCCTGGAGCAGGTGCAAAGCTAGAGAGGAGACTATCCCACAGGTCAGGGAGAAAAATGGTGGGGGGTGGGGGGTGGTGAAGCTGGGGAGCAATGGGGAGTAAGCTGGAGAGATGTCAGAGAATGGACAGAACTGGGGGCCAGCTGGCCATGGGTAACCAAGATACCTAAGAGTCTGTGGATGAGAAGGGGTAGTGACAAGCCCTCTCTGATTTCAGCCCCTCTGCAGGGCAGAGCTGGGGGCACCCAGGAGGAGGTAGGGAGAGGTGGGCAGGAGGGTGTGGGAAGCAGGTCCTCACCAGTCCAATGGCAGAGCAGGCTGCGGCATTCCTGCCATCACGCCGGTACTAAGTTTCCACCAGAGGATTGTCAACGGGGAGAACGCAGTGCCAGGCTCCTGGCCCTGGCAGGTGTCCCTGCAGGTACATGTACTCTAGGGGTGGGGCAGGGTACCAGGTGCTTAATGCCCAGGCGTAGCCTGAGCCCACCCCCACTTCTGACTCCTGACCCCAGGACAGCAGTGGCTTCCACTTCTGTGGTGGTTCCCTCATCAGCCAGTCCTGGGTGGTCACTGCTGCCCACTGCAAAGTCACGTGAGTACTCCCACTCTGCCTGCCCCCTAGCCCACCTCTCCCCACCTCCTTCCCCTGGATGCCCCTCTCTTGTTGCTCTGCCCTCCCTGAGGCTGCCCAACCCCACTCTCACTGCAGCCCCGGCCGCCACTTTGTTGTCCTGGGTGAGTACGACCGATCATCCAATTCTGAGCCTTTGCAGGTTCTGTCCATTTCAAAGGTGAGTGTCTGGGCTGCAGACACGGAAAGGAAGAGTGGATGGGGCAGGTGGGTGGGCTCTGGGGATAAGGAATTCAAGGCATGCCCAAGGCTAGCTCCTCAGCACCTGTCAACACCCTGATGCCACATGGCCCCTTCCTGGTTTCACAGGCCATCACGCACCCTTCCTGGAACCCTACCACCCTAAACAATGACCTGACGCTACTGAAACTCGCCTCCCCAGCCCAGTACACGAAACTCATCACACCAGTCTGCCTGGCCTCCCCAAATGAGGCACTGACTGCAGGCCTCACGTGCGCTACCACTGGCTGGGGACGCCTCAGCGGCGTGGGTATGAACTTGGGCCAAAAATGTGGGTGAGAGGGCTAGGGTGGGAACAAGTCATCCGGGGCCTAACCACCCCCTTCTGGCCCACAGGCAATGTGACCCCAGCGCGCTTGCAGCAGGTGGCTCTGCCCCTGGTCACTGTGAATCAGTGCAGGCAGTACTGGGGCTCACGTATCACCGACTCCATGATCTGTGCAGGCGGCTCAGGGGCCTCCTCGTGCCAGGTGAACATCAGCATCCTGTCCTATCCTCGGCACTGTCCTGTGGCATGCCCTAAACCCTGAGCTGACTTCTCCCCTCTCCTTCCCTCAGGGAGACTCTGGAGGACCTCTTGTTTGCCAGAAAGGGAACACATGGGTACTTATTGGCGTTGTCTCCTGGGGCACCAGCAACTGCAATGTGCAGAAGCCCGCCATATACACTCGGGTTAGCAAGTTCAGCAACTGGATCAACCAAATCATAGCCTACAACTGAGCTTACCACAGGCCTTCTCCCCATCTCAATCCAATAAAGCCCCCATGCTCTGTCCTCTTGTGTATTCTTGTCTGTCCTTACAAGGGAAGGGAGAGGCTCTTGGGAGTGCCCTTCCCCACTTGGGACTTTGATTCCTGGCATGGCAGGTATCTCCTCCCTGGTCCACAGCAAGGAGCCTGGGCTGTCAGCATGGATGGCCAGCCTTCCCTGGGGAGGGCAGCCTGTTTATTGAGTACAGAGGATACATTTACAAACTGAGTACACAAAATAAATAACTGCACATTCTCCATCCACAGTCCATGGCATAAAGGCCCAAGTCTCCAACCTCCCTCTGTCCTATCCTTAGGGCCAGGCCTATTTTGGACAAGAGAGGAAATAAATCCCCAGGGCTTCAGGCCCCCAGAGGCACTTGGGGAAGTAGAGGGAGTTCTGAGGCCACAGGGTTTGGGCTCTCTGCTGCCTTGTGCCAGGAACACTGAGGATAGAAGGAGGGGATGTTTAAGGCAGTTGGCTTGGCCCAGAGTGTTTTCTTTGGCCTTGTTTCCCACTAGAGGTGGCACATGCAGTAAGAGGAGGGCCTGGCCCAAGGCTACCCACTGGGAAAAACTGAGTGAGAGCCCGTCTCTCCCTGCTGGCAGAGGCCCTGCAGTCTAGCTGCAGCTGAAGCTGGGCCACAGCTCCTTCCCTGCCAGTGAAAGCAGCTGAGGAAGAAGGGGATTTGGGTTCCAGGCTTGTTTGTGGTGGTAGGAAGGCACCTTGACTAACATGGGGATGGTCTGGCTCAAACCTCTGGGAAAACAGCCACCCAATTCCACTCACCTCCTATAGAAGATCCCTCCAGCCTAAGATTTGGCAGGGTCCAGGCTGGACAGGTAATGCTGTGAAAGTTAGCAGGGACAGGCTGGACCAGGCAAGGCCAGCTGTGAGAAGGCCAGGGCCCCAGGCACTCAGGGTTCAGAGGCAGGTCACACAGTATGGCTAAGTTCCAACTGGAGCTGCGCAAAAGCTCAGCAGAAGGGGAGGGTTGAGCAGCCTGGGACCTTTCCTCAATACAGCAGCTCCTTCCTTCCCACTTCTTCTAGAAGATGAAGGGTGAGCATAGTGGTCACTCTTAGGCTGCCCATACTCATGCCAGACACTAGATGGCGCCTTTATGCCACTGCAGAGCCTGAAGGGAAGGGACATTGGGCAGTACCAAGGGTAGAACCAGGGTTGACCCTGGAATCTTGACGGGACTCTCCCTGGTAAGGCCCTGGCCTCTGCCTTGGCCCAGGTGCCCCCATTCCCCAGGTAGCAGCAGTGGGGCTCCCTTTAATCCCCCACAGTTGGGAAGGAGGCACCTAGGGAATAGAATGGGCATCCAAAGGGGAAAAAAAGTGATAGTGGGCTCTGCAAAGAAGGCTCTGAGAGCAGTGGGCTGGTGGGTAGGAGCTCTCCCACTGTCAGAGAGAGGTTGGAGCCTGTAGCAAGCCTGCTACCAACATGGCCACATAGTCCAGAAGGGCCAAGAGCAATGTCATGGCCCTACCACCAGAGGTTCTAGCCAGTTCTGGAGCCAGGAGGGGCCCCTGGGGGTACCACGAAAGAAGACAGATCTTGGGTGGGAGGTGGGAGACTGTTTATACTTAGCTGAGATTCCACCCAAGACACTAGCTTTGGGCCTTCCTGGGCCCTCTCACTGTGGTACACATCAGGATGCAATGGAATGCAGGGGACCAGAGATGAAGGTTCAGTGGAGGAAAGAGGGTTTCAGAAGTAACTGTCCCAAAGAGTCCTAGGACAACAGGACACCCTCTACCTGGCACAGCTTGCCTCTTTGGTCTTGGGGAAGAGCCAAGGGGTGAGGGAGCCTGAAGGCCAGGTCCTGCCCTTTCCCCAACTTTTAGCAGAGCAGTTGCCCACCAAAAGGAGCACTGGTGCCAGGCCAGGCTCCCAGTTCAGAGGGCTCACAGCTCCCCAGGCTCCCTCCACTCGATTACACCAGGCTCAGGCCCAGGATAAGGATGGAGGCTGCTGAAGGCACAGGGAAGGGGCTGGGGCCATTCACCTGCTGCCGGCCATACAGACCTATCTCCAGAGAGGGCATCAGGGCCAGATGGCACAGTGATGCACGGCCAAGCTGGGACTATGGCATGTCTGCGCTGCAGCTGACAGCTCAGCCATTGTACTGCTGCTGGTATCGCAGGTTGAGCTCCCGCAGTTCCCGCTCCCGCACACGGCGCGACTTGTTGGAGCGTGTAGAGCGGCTGGAACGCGTGGACTGGGCTGACTTGGTGCTCTGGCAGCGTGAGGAAGCACGTTTGAGGAGGTTCTGGGAGATGGAGCGGTGCAGATTCTTCATGGATGAAGAGGCTGCCATGCTCACCACCCATGGGTGCCTCAAGGCCTGCAGTGCAGTCATACGGGCGCCGGGATCCACTGTCAGCAGGCGGTCAATGAAGTCTTTGGCCAGGTTGGACACACTGGGCCAGGGCTAGAGGCCAAGGACAAGCATTAAAGCGGGAACACTCAACACCGCTCTCCCCATCCTGATGGTGCCATCACCACAGCACTTAGCACTGTCCAGCATTCCAGCACTCTCCCCCTGGAGAGAGGCACTGCTCAGCTCCTCCCAAGGACAGCATTCTGTGTGGGCCTCCCCCTTCCACCCAACACTGGCCCAGCCTAAGCAGAGGCTGTTCTCTGAGTAAGGAGTCCATCTGATAAGTAGGAGAAAGACCTGTTCCTCCCACTCCCCAAGCAGCAAACTTCTAAGATAGCTGGACTCAAAGCCTGGCTCAGGAAGGTGGTCCCTGTCAAGAGCCCCCAGGTACCCCCAAAATCACTATAACTAGGGGAGATTTAAAGAGAATGACCGAAACCTTATACTATATGCTAAGCCAGACTTAAGCTTCAAACTCTGGATGTCCGTATCAGGCCATTTAGCAGGGAACTTCCTAGTCTTTAAAGAGGAGACCCACCTCTGTCCAACTACAAAGTGATGGTGGGCAACCACTGCATTCCCCACATCAGCCTCCATATCTCAGACATGGAGAGAAAAAGAAACAATTCAAGGTAACTAGATTTCTTCATCTATCTGCTGAGAGGGCAGGAAGCTCTTGGGGGAGAGGTGGGAGCAGAGCCCTTCTTTCCAGTCTTCATGGCCTCTTTAGACCACACAGAGGCTGCCTGGCAGTGTTCTGCACTAGCCTCATTTTAGTACATTCTGTCCTCAGAGAAACTGCACAAAGCCTGCTCTGCTACATGCACCCATGGCTGCCTCATCTCAGCTACACACCAAGCAGCTGTCTGTCTCAGGGCCTCATCCTGTACAGATTGTCTTTACCTGGCTGAATTCTTAGGTTCTCAGGGTAAAGGACACTTACTCAGACTTCCTCTTAGCCCCCTGAGCTAAGCAATTATTCTAGTGATTTCAAGTTCATTGTTCATTTCCATTAGACGATGCTAAGCTGGATGAGTTCCAGTGCCTGGTGCTAGGCATACAGAGGCCCTCGAGCCCCTCTGCTGGAGGAGGGACGACACAGAACTGTTCTGAGTCACTGTATCTTCTGGAAGCACTGTGGTATGGGCTCTGATAATCCCACAGAGAAAGCAACTAGGACCTTTGCTGAGACTGCGACAGGTTTGGCCAGGATGTCAGGGGCACCATCACCCTCCTTCCTGCCAAATGAGGTCTGCCTCTTCCACTCTATAGTGCCCTTTGTCCTGGGGAACTCCTGAATTCATTCTCTAGGGGGTTCAGGAAAATTTAAGAGCCCACATTCAGGGCAACTGTATGCCCATTTAGCAAATACATTTACACACTGACTATTGCTACTCCCAGTCAGCTTCCTTGACTTCCAATTCTTCCCCCACACCCTTCCCCACTTACAAACAGGGGGTAGAGGGGGAGAACCAAAGAGAATACTCTTCTGAAGTCCTGAAGAAGGGGTGGGGGCTACTTGCAGTTGCTACCCTAACCTGATTTTTGGAAGGCAAATCTCAACTTTACTAAACTGAACTGGTGGAAAATGACAGACCACGTTACCAAACAGCCACTTAACAGGGTCCTCCTCACCAGTGTGCTAGCTCCGAGCAGTTCCTGGGGAGACAACATACCTCAGGAGGAAGGCAATCAGGGCCTCAGGATACGCAGGCAGGGAAGCCCATAAATACCTTGCTGAGAGCAGCGAGAGGGTGCAGAGTGACAGCCCTCCCACACACACAGTCTGGTCCAAGTTTCCCTGCAGGCCTGCACAGCTCAGGACTCTGCTACAGAGGCTGACGTGCAGGGTGACTGGACTACACAGTTGCCTAGTTGCTCATGGTTCAAGAAAGCCCCATGGCTTGCTGCTGTCATCTGCACATAAGAAGCCACTCTGAGGGGCCAGTCAATCTAAACCACAGACACTCGCTGCAGCCCCCGTCACTCACTTAAGTGATGGAAAGAAAGGCATAATGGGGCACCTGGCGGACAGAGCAAAACCTAGAAGCTGAACAGGTTGGGTCATGGGAATACTTGTGCTGTCCTACCAGCCTTTCGGGTCTCCAAGAAAAAGAGAAATCACTGGGAAACACACTGTGGCTAAGCTGGGCCTACTGGTGGGACAGCCCAAAGACAGAGCTGGCAGCCCAGGCTAGCCAAACAGAGCTGGGACATGGATTCTGCTTGTGCCCCCTTGGGCCAACCAAGAGAGAAGAGGGACAACTCCTCTGATGACAAAATAAACAGTGGTGAAGCTGGACTCACAAGCCAGGAACCTAAACACGGATGGGTCAGAGACACCCCCAACATCCATACCCAGCCAGACCAAGGCCCCCTGCAGTTCCACGCAAGTTCACTGAGACGGGCCTCTCACCGGACCCATCCTGTGGGCTTAAGCATTTTCATCTCCAGAATGACACACGCTCACACCAGGCATCAATCCCTGCTGCTCGCCGAGCAGCCAGCCTGTTAGTGACAAAAGCGAGCCAGATTGATCTGCGCCTTCTGCTCCCCCAGACGCTTGCCTCCCCAATTACTGTGTACACGCAGCCGTGTGCAGAATGCCGATGAACT